GCAAGAATTAGAGACCTCAACCATATATGCTTGATACGTACTTTCAACCCTGACTAAGCCGCATCTCCGACAAAGATATCTATCTGTGCTCGACACCGATCCTGTTGCAGCTCTTCGAGCTGCGTCTTGTCTATGTATCTGTAGATAGCCTGACCTGTAGCTTAACCTGTTCGTCAATTCCTAATATATCTGTACCTGACCCTGCACCCTGACAATGATTGCTTGGAAGACACTTAGGGTAAGTGTCCTGTCTCGAAATACAACTAACTAGAACCCTAGGTACGATACGAGGGAAGCCAGGTTGTGACACGGTTACCCTATATATAGTTAGCTTAGCCGATAGGCTACCAACCAATCAACCATTCACTACACAACAAAAGGTGGGCTGACAGAATGACAGAATAGTAAAAAGATTATCCTTATGCTGAATCACTTTTAAGGGAACTTTGTTTGTGGCTATGTGCAGGTGCCAAGATAAGTCAGTGTTTTGAAGTTGGAAAAGGACAGCTAATGATTAGTTACTGTAGCATGCCATTAGATTAGAAGAATTTCATAGGATTGAGATTGCGCGGCGCTGTGTCACGTGCTCGGAATAGTAGATATGAAATGGGTTCCGTCGGAGGTTCAGGGGAAACCGGAGGAGTCGATCATCCGACTGCACGAGGCCTATATGTAGAAGACCCAATTAAAACAAACGATTGATATACTCTATCTAATGTAGCCTAGAGTACACGGGTGCTTGAGTGCTTGTTGAGTGCTTGACTATCTATATGTGGCGAACGCTGGCCATATATCGGAGGTCCGCTAGTCGGACTAACGTTATCCCTTTGATCCGACCTATCAGATCTCATCAAGATAATGATGAATCAATATTCCTATCTAAACTATTGTAGCCATCGACGAGAATATCGAATCTGGAGAAGAAAGAGAAGAAGAAATCTATCTAGATAACGAAGAGGTTTTTATAGAGGCTATTGGCGACATGGCTGAGTAGCAGCATTTGTGATGTATCATCCATTGCTGCAGTGTTGAGCCATCATATATGAGCTGTTGCATATGAGTCATTACACGCTGCGTGATGTTGGGTGATGCCTCACCCCTGTATTGTGCACTCAGGTTTGTCCATATATTTTGGCTTTACAGAGAGACTAGTACATACGACCATAGGGTGTGGAGAACAGGGCTTCCCGTCCGCTCAGCCGTACTTAAGCCACACGCCGGCCGGTTAGTAGTTGGGTGGGTGACCACCAGCGAATCCCGGCTGTTGTATGTTCACTTTTTTTTGCATGCTACATTAACATTTGGTATGTTATTGTATTGATTCATTAAATCACATCTTTATTTCAATTCCATGGTGACATTGCAATCGATCTCTATGTACAAGGTATGATCCAAGAAACCATGTTTCAGGGCTAATGAAACACATATTTCTCAACACAACGCCAACAGGAAGCAAGAGCAGTATTTACACCCTTCTTCTGTCTTTTAGGTGCACGTGCTGGTAAGGTCGTGGGCAGTTAGCACGATTCGCAAAACGGCGCCAAAAGGTAGCCGTTTTTGGTGGCTGGCTAACTGTCACATCGTTAAATGGAGTATTTCATATGAAGTTTAGCTTCTTTGGCTGGTGCCTCAGAGGGTCATGTACATCAGTGGCAGGTAAATTTATATTATGACCGGCCCCGTATCATCTCTACCACCTCGACAAAGCCCCCCTCCTCTGCCAGTCTTCTCGCACTCACCCCCCGGGCATTAGCCAACTCTACATCCGCCCCCGACTCAATAAGCAACCGTGCCACCTCCCCATGCGAATTCTCAATCGCATGATGCATCGCACTTCCCACATCCTCCTTCGTCCTCTCATCCAGTGGATCCTCCACACCAACCTCGTCAACATCAGCGCCCCTTTCCAACAGAAACCTTACCATCTCAATCTCTCCCTCCTCAGCCGCTAGTACAATAGCCCCGCTCCCCTTCAAGACAGCCCCATACTCCAATAACAACGCCACCATATCCACATACCCAAGTTCAGCAGTAGCAGCAATCACAGTCTTATACTCGTCGACCCGGTTCCGATTCGGATCTGCTCCATGTTCTAAACAAAATTGCGCCATCTTCAAATCATTATTAGTAGCGACTGTGCTGAGAATATCCCCATACCAGGGTATGACGTAGTTGATGTCGATTGCCCCAGCTTCAATGATGAGTTTATAACTTTTCCAGGCACCGCGCTGCGCGATGAAGGTCATGATGGGGTCGACCACTTTTGTTTTTTTGGAGAGACAGTTGGCGACGATAGCGGAGGAGTCATGGTAGACTGCCGCAGCCATTATGGTAGAGAGAGGGGGGATATAGTCTGGAGTGATGAGTGCTCGTTGTTGGATGACATTTTCAAGGGTGTCTGGCTGGTCGGACTCGCAGATAAAAAGGAGCTCGTCATCTAGTTTGGACCCGATGGTGTCTTCAAGACTGGTGCCGATGACCATGATTCTTCGTGTTTGCGATCGTGATATGGTTAGAGGGATGATGGTAGTTTCTATTATGAGGAAGCAAAGGGATAGAGAGGACGGTGGTAAAAAAGAAAAATCATTGAATATGATTACAATAAATAGGGCCAAGAATCGTGGGGGTAGATAGAGGATAGGTGGGAGAAGAAAGCGAACTTGGTCTGAGATGCCTGGCAGTACGCCTTGCCCTGCCTGCTTCAGCCTCACCGAACCTCCGCCAAGTGCCTGTAGATCCCTGCCCCGGCACCAGTCCCAGTTCTCTGCACATTTCAGGGTGGACCCTTCCGGTGTCAGAAGAGGTTTGGCTGCTGGGCCAGGGGCTTTCAATCAGCTTGCTCAACATCATGGATGGCTACGCAGAATTAACACAATTACACTGGAATCCAGTGATCAAGAGGAAGTCGCATTCGGAGTAAAGACACAGGTAGAAGAGCGAATGGGAAGAGCCAATGAATTGGTATAAGGAATGAGTGCAGTAAAGACATGGTATTTGTGATCGAAGGCTTCTATAACGTGACCCACATGCGAATGTCACACACGGGCGAATGTCACACGAAATTGCTCCGACGCGACTTCTGACTTCTATCACAAATATCACCACAACCAAATATGCGTCAGAAAAATGATGAAAGCCAAGTAATATTGGCCCTTCAAGCTATACAAAATGACAAAAAACTGAGCGCTCGAGCAGCTGGAAAGATCTATCACGTGGATCATGAGAAGCTTAGTCGCCGCCGGCGTGGCATGCAATCACGATGCAATATATCAGCCAATTCACGAAGACTCACTGATTTAGAGGAATCAACGATTGTTGAACACATACTTGATCTAGATTCCAAAGGGTTT